ATAAAATTAATTATTACTCTACCCTTAATTTGGTTTAGTGGTGGACTTGGTAGTGTTAGGTTAATGGTTGGACTTGATGATCTTAAAGGTCTTTTCCAACCTAAACAATTCTATGATTCTATGATCTTGCACCTTTACAGAAGATAGGTGAAAGAATCCCATAATCCCGCTCTATGTAGGTTCTGGCAATATGCTAATCACTGCAGAACTGAATACCTTCAGGAGCACGTTAAAACAACACAACTAACAGGGTCATGGTTTTCCTTTCCCACACACTCTCCACAGAATGATGCAAGTGTAGCAGAGTTATCTTGATTTAGAATTATTTATGGTATTAATAGAATCATAGAATCATTTAGGTTGGAAAAGACCTTTAAGATCATCCAGTCCAACCATTAACCTACACTACCAAGTCCACACTAAACCAATTAAGGGTAGACTAGACTAAACCATGTCCCAAAGTGCCACATCTACCCGTTTTTTGAACACTTCCAGGGATGGGGACTCCACCACCTCTCTGGGAAGCCTGTTCCAATGCTTGACTACCCTTTCCGTGAAGAAATTTCTCCTAATATCCAACCTGAACTTCCCCTGGCGCAGCTTGAGCCCATTTCCTCTCGTCCTATTGCTAACTACTCAGGAGAAGAGACCAACACCCACCTCACTACACCCTCCTTTCAGGTAGTTGTAGAGAGCAATAAGGTCTCCCCTCAGCCTCCTCTTCTCCAGGCTAAACAACCCCAGTTCCCTCAGCTGCTCCTCATAAGGCCTGTGCTCCAGACCCTTCACCAGCTTTGTTGCCCTTCTCTGGACACGCTCCAGCACCTCAATGTCTTTCTTGTAGTGAGGGGCCCAAAACTGGACACAGTATTCCAGGTGCAGCCCCACCAGTGCCGAGTACAGGGGGACGATCACCTCCCTGCTCCTGCTGGCCACACTATTCCTGATACAAGCCAGGATGCTGTTGGCCTTCTTGGCCACCTGGGCACACTGCTGGTTCATGTTCAGCCGGCTGTTGACCAACACCACAATTAAACACAGCCTTATTAGAGGAGGCAGGGTCAAAGTCATGTGCCTCACAGAACAGAAAGACCGTAACAAACCACAATTTTGTAGGTGCCCGTGAAATTCACTCTACAATCACAAATTGTACCAAACAAAAATATAGTTCTCTGTACAAAAAAGCTCTACTGATTGTAAAAAGCTACCACAAAAGGAACCACAAGGAAATGTTTCCATTAAAAGCATACAGAACACTTATGGACATTACTTTCATCTTCACAACAGACATCCTCTTGGGCAGAGCAAAGCAGTTCCCCTCCTGTCACATCAGGCTTTTACAGACACATGTGCAATGGTCTGCCACTTTGCACCTTCTACAGCCACTTTCTGTAGGAGTGCACATGGACTACAGCATGTTTTTAAATGAACTGGAAGCCTAGATTATGGAACACTTTTTCCAATATAGAGATTCAGCAGCAACTGCAAGTGCCAATATTCATAAGATGGTGACCACAGCACAGCTAAATAAATATGAACAGGGACAGTATTTCAATGGCAATTCACTTGTGTAAAAATTACCCCAAACCCCAAGAAGCTTGTAATTTGCAGCTTCATCTGCACAAATTCATTTGTTAAACCCAGGCCCATAAAATTCTCTTGAAATTATTACAGAATCTTTAAAGTTTTTACTTCAGATACACCTAAGACAGAAAAGAACATTTTAAGGAAAAAAAAAAAAATCCTGGAAAAGACTTACACAAGTGCTGCTTTTAAACAGACGCATACAAGAGGCCAGTGATTTCAAAGTTTGTGAACTAATCCAAGCTACTTCTGTGTTTTACTTCCATGTCTCTATCCAGGTACACACATTTAAATCTCTCACTGCTCAAACATCATTGCCTTAGAAGAAGCCAAAACACGTACAACCAAAGTAGCAAAGGCACAAAACTCACTTCAAATGGTCACAAACATGAATGCAGACATGGCATCATAGTTCTTACACTTCTTATGGTCAAGTTCTGTCGGTCAAGTTTTTACAGCCAGTCATTCTTCAAACTATTTAATCTACACAAAGTGCCCCAACTGCCGATTTCGATATGTGAAATTGCATATTACCATTGGAAAAATAGGTTTATCAGACTCTTACCAGTTGCTACAACCTCATCCACTCCCCTTACCAAACAAAAGGCAGCAGGCTACTTGTTGTCCAGTATAACATAACTACACAGAATTAAAATATGAACTTTGAGCATAAAAGCAAGAAAGGCACTTTTCTGATAAAAACCACAGTTACTGATCTTCACTGTGAAGAAACATTTTATTCTCCAGGTCATCATCATAATGCAACACTCCATCTATCCATTCAAAGAAATTCACAGAAAAGACAAACATTCTTAACACGTTGTATGGACCCAAAGTAAAATCTACCAAATGTTAATGTATTGCTGCTCAAACACAAGTCTTAAGTTAACACTAAGCACGATTTAGCTAACAGCAAGGCAAGTGACAGTTGCTCAAGAGCAGTGTGTAATCTCTGAAAATCATAGAATCATTTAGGTTGGAAAAGACCTTTAAGATCATCCAGTCCAACTGTTAACCTAACACTACCAAGTCCACCACTAAACCAATTAAGGGTAGAGTAATAATTTCACGTTTCCTGGCTTGGTGGTTGGATTATTTTTTCATGAAAGTAAAAACTAGGAATCACTAAGGTTGGAAAGGACCTCTAAGATCATCAGTCCAACCATCAACCCAACACCACCATGCCCACTAAACCATTTCCCGAAGTGCCATGAGAACTGTTGTTGAGGGCCAACCCAGTTAAGTGAGCTAAGGAACATTCCTTTGCCAATACTATTAACAGCAACAAATAAAGTTACAGATCTTCCACACTGAAAACCAAACAAAGAACACAGCATCGCTGAAGACTAAGTGACTTGCTTATTGGGAAGAAGGTTGTAGAGCTGATACTAGAATCCAGATTTTTACCATAACACTTCACAGCAGTCCGATCAATTATCTTGCTCCTCACACACAAAAACCCACTGTGTCTTGACAGTTGTCAGAGGATGGTTGTTTTAGAGCCATCAGCCACAAGGGGTCCTCTTCTTTAATGCATGCATTATACATGCACTCCAGCTAGCAACGGTTTATCTAATAAGCAGCTAAACACATGCACTAAAGAGAACAGTATTTTGCAAATCTGATTCTCCAATACTCTTACCAGCAGCACAGTATCTTCTGTGCCCAGAATCCTGAAGGGATTCTGGTTACCTGAAACAAATTACCAACTCATCCTAATCATCAAGAGTTATTAATTACCTACTTCTGCAACTATATAGACAAGTACATTCAGAGAAGGTAGCATCAACATTAGTGTCACAAAGCCAGAGGTTAGAAAGAGCTTCTAATATGGCTAGAACTGAAGAAGTGGTTATAACTGAGTTGCAACATGTTACTCTCTCCCCAACTTAACTTGAAAAAGAAAAGTTCCCTAGCAGACCTGTTCTTGCCTTTATCAGTGAGACAGCTACTCCTTGGCATGCAAAGTCTGATGTCACTTCTGCTGTCGCCCAAAAACCCAAGCTCTCCTTTCCTCCTGTTCATTCTTTTTACCTTTAGGAATGTACATCTTCCAAGTGTTCAAATAGCTCACCCTTGCCTTCCAAAGTCACTGTCGTCATGTGTGTGTGTCCCCCCCCGCCGCCCCAAACAACTTTCCCCTTTTCTCCCCTCTCCCTTTACAAACTTGCAGTGCTCCAGATATCTGCAGATACAAGGATTTTTCATTCTCACCCACTCCTAACAGAGGTCCTGCTGCTCTACTGCGCTTACACCTGAGCAGCACTCCAGCCACCACCCATCAGGTTCCCGAGCGCTCCCCTCACAGCAACACATACACAGCTGTCCTGAGTGCTGCTTAGTCACTGGCCTTCAGATTAGAGCCATTTAGACAGGACTTTGTCCCCCAGATGCAAAATTTCAGTACCATGGAGTTCAACCAATGTTTACCATTAGTAAGTTAAATACCGCACTCTTACCACAGTTATTTCCTACTTCAAAAATTCAAGGAAGCCTGTGGTATCTTGAACACCGCTGCACAGGAACGCTTTAATTTTTTCTAATGCCACTATACAAGTTCTGACAGAGTTTATGTTTCTGCTTTTCTGAATACACACTGAAGAAGCTATTGCAAGATCTGCAACTGTATTGAACTCTTTCTCTCAGAGGGGTTAAAAAAATTAGAGATCTGGGAGAAGGGAGAATACAGTCCAAACTAAATCTCAAGAAATCACACACTAACTGCTCTACAGTACTTCATACACCAGGATGTCTTGTATGTATGAGATAACAAGAAAGAAACAAAACACATAAGGTCATTATTTTAATACCACACTTAAAGATTACAGCTGGAAGCAAGAAATCAGTAAGACATACTGTAACTGGTATGCTTGTTTCCAGCAAATACCAACTGAGAACTATTCTGATAATATTATCTTCAACTGTACTGAATACAGGCAGGTCATTTTCACCTCTCCTACAGAGCTTGCAGCTGAAGAAATACAGTGGAATCCTTACTAAATCATAAACTAATATGTCTCTTAAAAATGGCATATTACCATTCATAGCCTAAAGAAAAAAAAAAGGGAAAAAAAATCAACTTCAGCCTGGAACTCAGGGTTTTATAACCTTTCAAAACTACATAAAGGCAAACAACCTGACAGTACTGAACAGTAGTCCACACTGAGGCATAACTAAAATAGTAGTTATTTCTGTTTATCAGCTTGTACAAACATTTGTTCCTATCCAGAAATTTTGCTCTATCCCCTTTTTTTTTTCTTTTTTTCAATACTACTATTTAGAGAACTGTCTCCATCTTTGTATCTTCCATTCTCCTGAAAGGAATTTGATTTTACAAGTAAACAAACAAACTACTTCCAGTTAGACTGGTCCAGTTGTCTCTATTTAGCTCTCACTGTAACAAACCAGACACTCACGTGGGCCCACCGAACTGATGCCGGCTTGGGTATTCCACACAGGAGCAATCCCAAGTGCCGCTGAGGACTCAGCCAGCACTTGGCAAGCAGCTCTGTCAGCAATACTGGCTTCAGCAGTCTTCCCCAGCACTCACTCATTCCTATGCCCTCTGTTGTGACGGTACAGCTGTTTGTGCAGCCACACAGTGAACCAGACTGGGAAATGATCCAGATTAACAATAACCCAGTAAAGAATTTTTACATGCCAGCCAGGTCCTTAATCCAATAAACTCAATTTTGGCCACCTCACAAGGCACATAGCCTTTGCTGGTCTGCACACAACAGCAGTATTACAGAGTGCATCGAACACAATCACACTTTGTTCTTCCTAGCAATTGTAATTTTTAATTCATGTTGAGGATATCAACATGTCATCAATACACAATATCCCCTGGCATAACACAGAAAAACTACCTGCAGATTCATTCTAGCCTGAGTAAGTCTGACAGAATGAAGTTACTCTTTTTTTGTGAATACACTTGATCAACTCCATTAATAACTTCTGATTTTACAGTGTTCCATTGTAGACAGACTGCCACAATGAATTTGGAAGTGCAACCTTATTTTCCAGAGCAGAATGCGCTTTCTACACTACTCCCTTATTTTTCTCATTTCATTGATAAAAAGCTTTGACAGAAAAGCCAAAATCTTAGCAGGCCCCACCTCCCACCCCTACCCTCAAAAAAAAAAAAAAAATCAAGAGTACTCTTGCTTCTTGTAGCATAAGAAAGGTCTCTGGTAAGGTCAACTACCAGTACTCCAATTTTGACACAAAGTAAATATTGTTGGCAACACAAATCAAAGGCAACCATCACATACCATCACATGCCTGTTAAGCAGTAGCCCTACTCTCAGTCTCTTTAAGTGAATATGAAAAAAAAACCAAAAATTACCAGGTATCCTTCAGTCTTTTACAAAAGCCTCCTGAACAGTTAACATGAGGTAGCATGCTGAGTAAAAATAAATAATTCTTTCTATAAAACTTCTTTTAATTATCAAAGTGCATGGAGAGCTCTTTTGAGGACCACAACAGTCCCCGTTCTGAAATTACTATATCATTAACTCAGATGAATAACCCATTTGAAATAAGTGCAATTTCCTGTACATTAAAAACTCAACATAAGCCAGCATTTATATTTGAAGCCCACCATTGTGGCTTTTGAGGATATTTCAGGAGCACTTCATACATTATAGAGAGGACAGAACAACTGACCTGCAAAATCCTGAAGTACTGGTTACAGCCTTTCACACATAGCACGACTAAGCTGTGGTGTCAGAAAGTAAGAGTCTTCCAGACACAAAAGATTCCTCCCACTCCTTTTTGCAATATTCCTTTTCCAATTACAGTCTTGGCATACAAAGAGAAGTTAAAATCCTCACTCTTAGGTTTTTTTTTGTTTGCTTAATTTTGGTTTGCTAAATAAAACAAGACTAGACTTCTCAATTTCTATTGCATAAGTTATGTTTGATAGTAGTTACTTGAGTGCCTTTTTAAAACTCCAATTATCTTTAATTCTAGCTAGAAAAGCAAGTATTATCAAGATAAAGCTGTGTATGCTTTTATTTAGTCCTGGTATCCATATGCTGCAAGATAAAGGTCTCAACCTCACTACAGAGTGCCTAATGATTAAAAAAAAAAAAAAAAAATCTGTGGTTTGAACTGAACGCCTCATTCATTTTCTGGTTATTCCTGTGTACAAAAAAAATAACCTTTTTAAAAGGTTATCAGCTGTCTAGGCATTAGCTAGGAGTGCATTTAATATTAAAATCTTATGCCTTCAAAGAACTATCGCATGTTCTGATATGGTCACTTTCCATATATTCCCAACTTGTCAAAAGCTTCACAGGTAATATCTTTTCATCCATTCTGGTTTAGAAGGGAAAATAAAGTCTTCTCCCATCAATTGCAGTTATCTGTAGACAGCAACCTTTTCAAATCTTTCATAGCAGCTTCTAACTCTGATTTAGCAGCAGGGTGTTTTTCAGTGAAAGCAGAAGATACTTCTTTCCAGCAGAGAAGCAAGAGTATACTGGAGTCAGCCATATCATATGAATTGAATTGTTAATGTATGAAGGACATCACTGCACATCAGAGCCCAGTATCTGTTTGGGGCAAAACCTGCTCCCAGACAGAGCTGGCACAAACCCCGTTCTATCTGCAAGTGCTACTTGAGGACACAGAATTTCAATAATAGTTTTGAGTTTGGGTGGAGAGATATTAATATCCAGTTTCTCTCTGAAGAGATTATATAAAAAATACGAGATGTTTTACAGCAGTCCAAATCACTCCTTTTTCTTGCAATAACAAGCAAAAGATTGAATAATTCTAATGCACCTTTTGGAATACTATGACGTAAGTCTGATTAAGGTACCAAACTGAAACTACAGATTGCACTGAAAGACACTTACCTAGAAGTCATGATCAATAAACGCACTCCTCTAAGTAAGGCCACTGTTTTGATACTATTTCAAGAAAACATGCAGAACAGGACCAGGATAAATGCATATACTTTGTAAAGGACACTGTTTTATCAAACATGATTAGTTGGAATACTGCTGTTTTTAAATAAAAACAAAACCTGAGAAAAACTCCAGAATGGAGACGCTGCTGTTGGCATAACAAAATGGGAATGTGAAGGTACACAGCCTGAACAAGTTCAATAATTAGACAGTTCTCAGGAATAAGCAGCAATGTTTCTGACAGGGATGACTCCACCCTAAAGTGCCTCTTCTAAAATAACCTGATTAACCATTTAAGTTCCAATATGGGTCACTACCAGAAATAATGGACAGACTTGGACAAAGTTTGCTTGTCACTTTATGAAACAGAAGAGCTATTAAGTAAAATAGACCTTGCTTTAATTTCAAGCATTGCTCAGTATCACAGGTAGACTATTCCTAGGATGCTGCAGCAAATACTTAACTCTGGCAGTTCTACAAACTTCTACGGCAGACAATCAGAAAATCATCTCGGTGAGAAATTCCAGGGCAGACTTCTAATCAAACTGTGGCATTTAGTCTAGGAGACTTGTGGAGGAGATCCATGCAGTTCCTAAGCAGACATTCTCCCTCACCTCTCCAGGAGAATGCTCCCTCTTTCCTCTGCCTTCTCTCTCTAGATTGGACAAAAGAAAAAGATCCACTGTGAAGATCAGAGCAACTTAGTTATCAGGTCTCTTTTCAGACTTAGTGCAGAAGCTACTGGAAACTTCCCTACCAGATTTTTCTCTATCCAGTAACTTCAGCATCGGTACACACTGCTAGACAGCTTTCATTTTAAGTAAAACATTGAGGTACCCACAGAACTACAATGAAAAAAAGTGATTACTGAGCTTTGTGCTTAGTCTTCCCCTTAACAGGATTCTTGAGCATCCAGACATACAATCTTCTGTAAGCTTTTGTTGAGTAAGGGAAATATCCTAGCATGATCAGTATTGTAGGAGTTAAACTGGTTAGAAGCAGCAAACAGCTAAAGTTACATATTTGCACTGCAAATCCAGAGCACTAAGACAGCAGCTTCTGATGCAAAGGGTGAGTCTCCACAAGAAAACACTTATCAACCACTTCATAGCCTTACCAGCTTTAGCATGCTACTACCACCATTTGAAGCTCTAGTTCCCACAGTAACTGTGCATCTACTGTGAACAAGACTTACAATTTTCTAGTTTACAGTACCTACAGAAAAAAAACTGGAAGCAATTAGGAGTCAGAGCTGGGGGGTGGGGGTGGTGGAAATCACTTTTGTCACACAGAGTTCTAATACTTGAGTCAAAAAACTAGGACAGAAGTCCAGAGGTCAGCTTTCTCTTCTTGGCTGTCATCTGCTGCCCACTTGTTTCAAGAGAGCTACCTCTCTATCTCAGGTTGCCCTCTCCCATTTATTTTTAACAGATGAAGAAAATAGCCACCTACCTCAGAGAGCCAAAAATTACTCAACATGGGAAAGCACCAAGCTGCTCAGACAACTGAAACAAAAGTTTCAAAAAGCTCAGACACAGCCTTTTTTCAAAGCAGAAGTCTCATCTCTAAGGCTTTCTAACAGCTCTTTTCCTGCTCCTTTTGCAAGTTCATATACCACAATTCTAATGGCATGTGAAAGACCTCTTAACCTTTAGGGCAAGTGACCGTAATAGCAAATTGCAGACACCGTTTCCCCAATAATACATAAAAATGCCAAGAGTGACCTAAGCCTGTTTCTCTCTTGGTCAGACACACCTCAACCAAAGGCCTACAAGTAAGTAGGTATATTTCTGTGCAAGTTAAGAAGGAATTACTATCAAAAGAAGCTACAACAAAAGCAGCCTCAGAAGTAGATACACACCACGGCACAAATCCAAGGCACCAAAAACTTCAGGCCTTACTACTGGCTTCCCTGCTAGCTGTTACTTGACAAAGAAGAAATAACCCATCCAACTGAACTGGCAACTGAGGGTGCACAATCATCAGACCTTTTATTTTACTCTTTAGAGAGAGGCTTATGAAATAGACCATGTTGTGTGGAAACAAACAGCCAGGCTTCTCAGCAGTGAAACACTCTCTACCAAATAAAAAAATATTTAAAAGAAGTCACACAACCCATCACCTGATAGGTCATGTCTAAAAACAAGAACACCAAAGCATCTTGTTTATTTTACCATACAAAATATCTTATGTCTTAAAAGTATACACAAGTGTCCAGTAAAACAAACACCTGTCCCATGACCACAAATCTGACTTCTCATGACAACTAACTGTGAAACCAGAAAGATCCTCTTAACAAGTCTCATTTAATTTAATAAAGTTACTTTAAGGCAAGTAAGGATCCGATCAAGATTATGAGATTTACCTGGTTTGCATGCACATTTTCTTCTTTCAGTACCCAAATATTTACATTTACATGCATGCTTCTACCTCCACGCTGTTTGAAACTTTCATCCATTTACAGGCAAAAGGCAAAAAAAGTTCTAGAGCTTATCTTCCTGAAACCCAAACATACTAACCCTATTTTCACCCAGTCAAAATTTTTCAATACTCTACTCTTAAGCTGAAGCTTGATAAGGCATTTAAATTCACTTACAACTACAGCCAGTCCAATAAAAATGAACCTCCAACACTTTCTT